TCTTCTTACTCTACTCTTTTCTCTAATGCATAAATAGATTGTTTTTAATAAAGCTACTGAACTGTACTGGAAATTCAGCTTCCTCCTTAGAGAAAGACACAAGCAGATACCCCATATCCAAGCGTCTGGTCAAATTAGAGGTCTGTGAACCTACGCACTATACTCTGGAATCTGTCTAGAAATCAGATCACAGGATTACGCTCCAGGGAAAGGCTAATAGCCCCTCCCCCTGGGCAGCAACGTAAAGACCAAAAGAAGGAACAAAGGTATTTATTTAGAATTAATAACTAATAGACTTATTCAAGATTATGGGAACCCTAAAACATTGACAATACAAATTAAGTCTCAGCAGCATTTAAATCAATTCAGCAAGAGCTCAACCTGCCCCTTGCAAAGACCCCTTTCCACACCTTCACGTAGGAAGCACAACCTCAATCTTCTCCAAAAAGCCCACCAAACAGATGTCTTTTGCAGCATGGCCTGCAGGTTACCAAATTCCAACTATTTTGGACTAAGGATCTTTGATGTTATAGGTCTATATAGGACCCAGTTTGGGAAACCTTTATTAATGTGAATAAGCACACTAGTAAAATGGGCTGTTATTTATAGTCTGTTTTAGAATCTGTGGGAATGAAAAGCAATATATACAAGTCAAATACAACCTGTGGGAAGCAGAACCTGGCACGGGAGAGTTTATTCCTACGAAATCCATATTCTTGTGCATGGAGCTGGCAGGATGGCAGCAGGTGAACAGATTCTGGAGCTTAGATAGAACACATTGGGCTAATAACAGATATGCCATAGGCTGTTGGTGTTATGACCTACTCCTGAACACTCTGCAAGAATAGCAAAGGCTGGGAGATAGCTACAAGAGGCATCCTATAGAAAGAACCAGGAGAATTTTACAGACACTGACACATAAAAGTTGCAAAATAAAAAGGGTATCCACATACAGGTGTGTCACAATCACTAATAGATACTGTTTAATTAAATATCATGTATTTGCTACTGTATACTTTCTCCATAACTTGTAGCTAAATTCCATGTATCCTGAGGCACAGCTGATGGGAAGAACAGGCTAGGAACCATCAGTCTCCCTCATAACTGCTACTAAGCCTTCACAGTTAAGTCAGGACAACACAAACCCAGGTTTCTTTTCTGCATTGTACATTCATCACCACAGCCCCTCATTAAGTCCAGTAGAAATGGAGATCTAGATATTCACTTTAGTGACTGTATTTGTGTAAGTTACAAAGGCACTGGTGAGACCACAAACCTAATAAATAAGGTGTCTGACTAGAACCACTACTTTGAACACAAATTATTTGCTTTAACAGGATGGAGATCCCTTTTAACAAATAACCTAGCACTTTTGAGTTCTAGATCCTAAAGAACTTTACAGAAGTAAGTATATCTCCATTTTATAGATATTAAAACAGAGGTTAAGTGACTTGTGTAAAGTCACACAATGAGCCACTGACAGTGTTGGAATTAGGACCCAGATGTTCTGAGTCCTAGTCTAGTACCCAAATTTGTTTCCACATAGTGCATTTTAAAATCAAACATAAATGAAGCATGCTCCTCCTGTAAATCATATTTCTTCATTAATAATAAATGGGGAGATTTTCATACAGAAAGAGGGAGATGCCTAACTCCAATTTACTTTCATTTGCAGTTAGATTGCTCAACTCCCCGGTGTGCCTTTGAAAATCTCCCCCAAATTGTTTCAGATATGTGAATAAAAAACAGGACAGCATTAGCATGGTTTGGAAAATAATATATTGCCACGGAAGCTAAAAACCTGTAACCATGTTAAGTGTCACTGTACAAGACTGTCATTGCAGGAAAGCATGCTCTTTAGTCCATGTATTGTAACAGTAGCATCAAGGGCTGTTGGGGTGCATAGCTGCACCCTCCCATAATGTGTTTTCTACACTATTGGGAATTTGTTCAAACAGAAATGAACTGTGATGTCATGAAATGCATGACTCACTACACCCCCCTGAGCCCTAAGCCACGCTAGTATCATGTAGCACTTCACATTCTGTATATGCAAACAGACACGGCTTGCACAGGTAATACTCTCCCATTACAGCACAGTCCTTGTGCCAGACTCTCTGCTGGCCAGCCCCACTGATGCCAAGCTGAACAACGGCAAGCACAACAGATGGCAAATGACACAGAAGATGGTCAGCGGGAACCTGCGAGGTGTGAACCAGGGCAAAGCCCGGCCCGTCTGCCTGGGCAAAGCCTGCCCCCACAACTCCAGTCCATGCAGAAGGGCTGCAGAGACACAAGAGCTGTGACCTGTCAAACATCATGCTCCACCAGAGACCTGCCCTGCCTCAGGTCTCCCTCCCGCGACAAACCTGGATCCCCTCTCCACCCCCCACGGAAAAAGCAGGCTCCCCCTGTTCATCACCCCAGGCCCCAGAGAGAAGGAGCTGCCCCACATGGCCAGCAACAGCCTGAGGACATGGACTGGCCGGCTCTGTGGGCGCCGACGGGCCGCTTGGCCCAGTGCGTGACCCGCACTTCAGTGGAGGGGGCGCGCGCTGCCTAAAGCACCTGCTGTGCGAACGTCCCGAAACTACGAGCTCCTGCGGTTATTCCACCTGTGAGCGGCCGCCACGCTCCCTTCCGGCTCCAACCGCCGCCGCCGCCGCTTCTCCGGGTAGGTTCCTTCCGGGCAGCCTGCTTCTGCTTCCGCTTCCGCCCTGAGGCCGGACACGTGGAGGACCGACTGCCATAGAGAGGAAAAAGCAGGCTAGAGCGTCGCTCGACAGCCATCTTGAATGTGACCAAGGGAAAGCGATTGTTTTAGGTAATTTACCGCTGGTCCTCCCAGCCTGAGAGCCAACGACGGCACGGGAGTTCACACCACGAGGGAGGGAAGGAAGCAGCCTAGGAATGTTCAAGAAAACTGCTCCGTTGGGGAGAGACACGTTACACTCTGCCTGGAAATGCCTCCCACCCCAAAATGTGGGGGGCTTTCCCCTCCCCCTCATTAAGTCAGCTTAGCCCCCTCAGTTCTGCTGCCCTGTGATCCGCACTGTTGGAGCTGTCTCGTTTAGGTGCCCAGTTTTAGACCCCTATAGTACAGCACAGCCTGCTTTGCTGAGGTGTGCCCCTCACAACTGCATGGGAACTTCATGGGAGCCCCCGTTGCACAGCATTTCTGAATATCGGGCAATAGGTGTCTAAAGATGGGCACTGAAGTTAATATTTCTGAAAGTTTGCTCCTAGGTGGGAATTGATACCCACATCATTGTGCAGCCTCAGAGTTCGGGGTGGGGGGAGGGGGCTAATGGCAGCAGGCTGTTTGTGTAACAGCAAAACTAGGTGTGGGATTATAGAGCTCTTGAGATTTGTGTTACTATGTATTCTCATAATAATGGAAAAATTGCTTATTGGTATTTGGAGTGGAGGATGTTTTGCACCAAGCCAAGGAAATCAGAACTGTGCCTTTAAAAATCAAATACAAATGAACTGTGCTCCTCCTGTAAATCTTGTTTATTCATTAATAATAAAAGGGTAGATTTTCAAACAAAGAGGAGGGAGATGCCAGATCCCAGAAATTGAAGAGCTTTTTAGTGTTTTTCAGATGCATTAGCAGAAACATGAGGCTAGAAAGGATATTATCCAGGCCCAGATGGAAGTGAGCTGGACTGTATGCAGGTAAAAGCCAATAACAACAAGGCTGAACAGCCACCCAAGCAGACTTTGCAACAGAACAGGCTAAAGCCAAACTTGCCCATGCTCAGTTCAAATACTTCTCAGAGTAACAGAAGTCTTGAAGAGCAGCCACACAGGATATATTGGGCCCCAACGCCGATGTTACTGTCCAGGCTGTTATTGCTGAGGACTCAGTAGCTATCCAGCAAATAGTGGATAGCAAGGACCCAAAGTCCACCCGGCCTGATAGAGGCTCAGCAGTTTAGGGGAAAAACCCAACAATCAACATCCTCAGTAGCACCACCGAATTGGTGGTAGAAGTGCCTGTGTTGTCACTAAAATATATTCTAAGTAATCACCACTCTGCAGGACCAGAGACCTTCCCACCACAGGAGCAGCCACCTCTGCCCCTCAAAACCCCAGCCTGGTTCCCCATCCCAATCTCTTAAAAAAAAAAAAAAAAAAAACCATTTAAGCACCTTCAAAGTGCCCCCCAACCTTCCAGACACTCCTCCACTACCCCAACATTCCCATATTACTAGGCTGAGACTCAGGAGACCTGGGTTCTATTCCTGGCTCTGCCACTGGCCTGCTGAGTGACCTTGGGCAAGTCACTTCATCTCTATGCCTCAATTTCCTCATCTGGACACTGACCACTTTGAGGTGTACTGATGAAAAGAGCTAAGGCCCTATTATTTATTATCCACATCCCCATCTCCTCCAAACCCAACCTAACAAGCTCCCATTCTCACAGCCTTCCCCTATACACCCTATTGCAAGGTAGTTCACATTTTCTGAGTCCTAAAGGGTTTGTATAGTAGAATTAGGAATTATGCAGAGGTGATTGTTTTATTGAAATGCTATTTTGTTTATATCAAATTTTACAAGTGTTAATAAGGATATGAAAAATAACTGTTTGAGCAGCCGCTTACAGCTTGGTATCTGCCGGGCAAAATAAGAGCTCGCTTCAGGTATGAGGCTATATCCCCTGTGCCAGCCAAGGAGGTCTCGTCCACTTAGGGGAACCCGGGCGAACCACCGCACAGGCTCGAACTGAAGGCCAAAACCCCAGCGCCAGGCACAGGTCTGCAACGCTCAGCGATACAGGGAGCCTGTTTCTAGGCTCTCTCCGCCCCCGCCCACGAAACGCACATCTCGCGAGATCGCCCCATTACCACCCTAGATCCAAATTATATTTCCATCCGGCCCATCATCGCCGCTGTCTTGGCCAATCACTGCGCAAAAGCAGGCCCCGCCTTCTTCCGCATTCTAGCAGGATTGTCGCTGCTGCCCCTCGGTTTGAACTACTTTTCCCAGAAGCCCCTTCGACGCCGCCGTCTCAGCCTATCCCTGCGCAGACTGGGCGGGACCACGCCGCTGTGGGCGGGACCAACCGGAGCCAATCAGGTGGAGGGTGGCTGCGGCGGTGGAAGAAGAGCTTGGGTCTGAGCATCGGTGTCAGCGGGAGAAACGGATCCGCAAGCGGCTGCGCGAGGCCCCACCGTGCGCGGGGCAGCAGGTAGGCCAGCTGAGGGACAACTCCGCGCGCGGCCGAAAAGGGGTTTCGGAGCCGGACTCCAGGCGACCGGAGCGGACCCGGCGGGAGAGGATCGCGGGAGGCTGAAAGGGGACCCGGCTGCGGTTTCTCGGGGGCCAAGAGCTGCTTCCCCCGGGGGAGTTAGCGAGGGGAGCTACCCCCGTTTGTTTCAAGCTGCCCTGCGTCGGCAAAGGCTTCTTAGTGGTCGCTGCGCTTTATTGCTTGTGAACATCCGGGCTTTGCGCGTCCCTCACAGCAATAGGGGGCGGAATCTGGCGTGGAGACTTGCTCCCTATTGGTCCGTAGGTTCTTATCCCATTGGCTAGCTCTCTCGTGAGGTCATCAGTAGAACGGGCTTCCGATTGGTTGAGGGCACGAGCCTTGATCTGCGTTTAATTGGCTCATGCCCCAGCGTGACCCTGGATTGGCGCAGGACTAGTGTTGTCGTCTGCTCTACTCTATCCAATCAGCGGAGGCCCGAGTAGCCGGTTTATGGGGGCTCCCTGGTGTAATGGCTCCCCGGCCCTGCGCGCAGGGCTGGTCCCCGCTGCAGGCCGGAGGGTGCCTGGGGACTCCCCCTCTCGGAGCTGGGGGCTGGGTAAAGCAGATGTTCCGAGCTGCTGCCGCACAGCCACGGGGTCACACTTGCTGTGCTGTGTATAGAGCGCTGCCCACGTTCCCCGGGTACTGCCCCTTTGAGAAACATCCCAAATCTGGTCTCTCTCTCAGCCACATCCCAACTGAACTCCGCGCTGCCGGGGATCAGACTGTGGAAGTGTCGGGCACCGCTGTCCGGCTTCCATTCCCAAGCGAGAACGTGTCTGCTTTCAAACCAGATTTTTTTTTTTTTTTTAATTCATGGTCCTTCTTCTATGGGGCCGTGTTACAAATTGTCACCTCGGACCCTGCATGACATGGGAGGGATCAGATCTCATCCGTGTCAGCTCTAGCATTGGCCGTTGAACATATTGCTAGGATTATGTTGCTTTAAAATATTCTTCACGTTGTGCAGGTGGAAATGAGTTCTCAGCAGTTTTCCCGTTCTGGAGCCCCTCCTGCAGGACTAGGACAAGCTCCACCCCCAATTTCCACCAGTGGATCTACAGGGCTGATAAACCCAACAACTACAGGTAAGACAGCTATTGGAGTTTCATTCTTTCTACCCAGCAGCTTCATTCTGAGGAATTTTGAGACAATTTTCTGCATGGTCTGCAAATTTTATTGAGATGATTGTGGATATTTAAACACATCAAGGACAGACATGACTCAAACTTTGATATAATTGGGTATATTAATTTGAAGAATTGTAAGACGCTCTTCTTCCGCACCTCACATGTCATACAGGATCAGTGTGGGCTGGGAATGTGCAAGTTGCCTTAGGAAAACAATGTTAGCAAAAACATTTTGACCACAAGCTGTTGTTTAGAAATTATCTAAAAAGTAAATTCTAGTTGGTGTAGGACATACTAGTTGGGCTCTCCGTTGGGGAGGGGAAAACTGCAAAGAAATCACAGGTAGGTGGGAACTATAGGGAGCGGCTTCAGCGCAAACCACACAGAAGTAAACATGGACCATGATCACCTATAAATAGAACTGTATGGTTAGCTGATGTATTAAAGGGACACTGTCAAAAAGTGGATTTAAAAAAAAATGATTTGTCAATGTTCCTTTAATTATTTGCTAAATGAGACTATATGTCTGATAGTTTTCAAACCCACTTTAGAAATACCTGTTACTGTTTCATTATCTCCATAACTTTTGACTGGTGTTTGATGTCTTAGGTCCCAATTCTGCAATGAGGTCTGTGCTACCAGATGCCTGCCCCGACCTGGAGCTCATTGCAGGATCAGGGCCTGAGTAGTGAGAGTTACCACATTACTGATGCCTCCAGCAGTAAGTCAATCTGATCTTATAGAGTAAGATGGAAGGAAGTATGTTTTTAGTATTCAAATGCATAATTATGGTAGGAGATTCTGAGAGTTGTACAGTAAGTATAAAACAAATTCTACATAGGTTTTGATTGCCTAATAATAACTAGTGTTTAAATACAGTTTACAGCTGAGCTTCCTGTGCTCTTATGAACTTAAGAGATGGAAATAAGACAGAAATTCTAATTTTAGTCTAATTATCACTGTCATTGTGGCAGCTTTGTGCTTTGATTGTTGTAGTTTTTTGCTTTGACACTTCATTCCTATTTTTGATTAGATTAAGTGGTTGGACAATCTTGCATTAAGTGAAGTCTTTAATAAAAAATGTAATTGAATCCATGCCTTAGTCATTTGCCTGATGGTCTCAATCAGCTTATTTTGTTCATTTTAATTTAATTATTCACTTTAAAGAGAGGTTACAGTTAGAGGTTTATTTTAAGAAGGATGATTGTTTTTTGTGAGTGACTTGGATTAGACCATGATGTGTGGGGATAATCCTTAGGGCTCTAAGAGGAATGCAGAGCACGCTTTGCAGGAGGATTGATGACATTCTGGAGACGTTTGTTTTTCGAGCAGGTTTTTCATACCAGGAGTAGTGAATGTCTCTTGTTCAGGAGGTTTTAAACAAACTGCTTTTGTATGTATGTATGTATGTATTTGGCATTCCATTTCTGGGCTTGTGGACAAGCGTGCATACTTCTTACCCATTTTTATCCTCTTCTTTATAGTTCCTTTTTTCTTTCCTCAGCAGTGAGTGATGAATCTAATCGAGAGTCAGAAGTTGCTCCCAGAGAGCACATGGGTCCTGGTGGCTCTCTACAGTCTCGTGAAGAGAAACAGGAACCAGTGGTTGTTCGGCCATACCCACAGGTTCAGATGTTGGCACAGCACCATACAGTCCAATCTGGTGCTGCGGTTACAGTGACAGCTCCGCCAGCACATCTGACTCCAGCAGTGCCACTTTCCTTTTCAGAGGGACTTATGAAGGTAACAAGGTGGCGCATGACTGAGTTGATAATGAAAATAAGTCACTAGAGGAGTTAATACTTTCCCAGTTCGATCAAACAGCTCTAGGCTAATTTCAGTTGTATTTCATTTACCTCCTCTTGACTAAAATGTTCTTTTCTATAAATTGCTTTATTTATTTATTGAGCTCTTTTTTGTGCTCTTCTTCTGTGAATATGTGCCTCTTCGGTGTGGTGCCCCTACTCCAGATGGCGGGTTGGGAACCTTGCAGCCCTTAGGCAGCATTTTGTGGCTTTTCCACTTACTTTATTTCTTAGATTAAGGATGGTCTAAATCAATTTTACAACACCCCATTCGTTCCTGGAAGAGGGAGGAAAGAATGTCAATGAGATACTCACTTGTGCATATAAATAGAGCATTAAAATGAAGTTATGGAGAATCATGCACAAACTAGGCAATTCCTACAGCTGGGCAGAATCCTTTTTGTGAGGATGGGGTTAAGAAGACACAAGAAGGAGACCTTTGTAAGGGATGGTTGTAACTTGAGCAAATGGTTGATTACAGCCATTTTCTCTTCTTCTTTTTTTTTTTCCCATCTAAGCCTTAACTAAACATGATCTAAGATCTAATTGGCAGAAGAGGAATTGTGCAGAAAATCTAAAGACTAAGAAGGGAAGAGAAAAGGGAGATTAAAGTTTTTTTTAAAAGTAAATCAGGATACTAATGTCTTTCTTGTTTGGCTTTTTGTCTGTATTTCTGATGTTTGTTTGTTCTGTAGTATCTAGACACTCTGGGAGATATGATTCGGGTTCTGTTGTGCTAAGTAATGTCCACGATGAGACCCCGCCCTAGCCAAAAGAGTTTCTTCCTTCCAGTTTCTCTCAGCTGAAAGGGACCTGTGCTTCTTCCCTTCCCGCCAAAACACACACATCCTGTTAGCGCTATTGATGCAAACCTCACCAGGCTGTGATTTTTGAGGAGAGATCTCTACTTCCTTGTATTGAATTGTTACTATTTTTCTTGTTTCTTGCAGCCTCCTATGAAGCCCCCCATGCCCAGCCGGCCCATTGCTCCTGCTCCACCCTCTACAATGTCAGCTCCCACCAAGGTTCCTGGGCAGGTTACTGTAACCATGGAAAACAGTATCCCACAAGCCTCAGCTATTCCTGTGGCAACAATCAGTGGACAACAGGTTTCCTTTTCCCCTACCTTGCTATTTACTAAAGTGGGATGTTGGTTGAAAGTTCCTCTGTCCAGAAACCATCAGTAGAGCAGGGAGATCTTGAGAAGGGGGTGAACTAGTCCATCATTTCTCCTCAAAGTATTAGTAACCACCAAGAGAATGTGGAGATGGGAGCAGACATCCCCACCAATGTATAAGAAAAATGCAGCTGAGTAGGGAGATGAAGCAAGGGTCATAGGGCCTCACCCTGTTAAAACCCTAGGCAAGTGGTGGGCAACCTGCAGCCCATCAGGGTAATCCACTGACGGGCTGCCAGTTTGTTTACATTTGCATGGTTGCCCGCAGCTCCCAGTGGCCGCAGTTCGCCGTTCCCGGCCAATGGGAGCTGTGAGAAGCAGCAGCCAGCATGTCCCTGTGGCCCACACCACTTCCCACAGCTCCCATTGGCCAGGAACAGTGAACTGCAGCCACTGGGAGCTGCAGGCGGCCGTGCAAATGTAAACAAACTGGCGGCCCGCCAGTGGATTACCCTGATAGGCCGCAGGTTGCCCACCACTGCCCTAGGCAGATGACGGTTGCATCTCCATTGGCCCATCTGATAAGCTGGGGCCAGATAAATTTGAAGAAATCTGATTTAGGCTCATTCTTCAGAACAAAGCACAATCCCTTCTTCTGCAAAGGTGAAGCTATCATTTTACTCTTTTTGAAAGCTACTAGTTTTAGTTTTGAGATGCCATTTGATAGAACATATAAGGTGGTAGCATACTGACCCGCAAGCAGACTGAAATAATGAGCATTTTCTTAAACTCTCCCACTGTTGCTGCTCTACCAACAGACATGCTAGTGTAAATGGATGCTGTTTGTTTGTTTAATCACCTTGTTGTCTAGCTCTACTCAGAGCAAGTCCAGTTGATGTATTGGTAAGCAGCTGGTTTACACTAGTTCTGCTTTTTGTAGCCCCACCAGTGCTGTCCCACACCAGACCAATAGCGGAGAACTTATGAAAGCTCTGAGCGTAGGCAAGGCTTTGGTGTGAATGCCTGTCAAGGAGTTAACGCCAAAGCACGCTCCTGATTCTTGCGTTTCAAAGCTCGTTTGCCAAAAACAATACTCAGCTCTAGCAAGTGAAATACCATTAGGTTAACATAATGTAACATAAGTGTGATACCTACTAAATTTTATTTGTAACTGGTTAGCCAGTACTGTTCATGAATTTTTAGAGTAGGTGTTTCTACCTACTAGGGATTCACACCAATTATTGCTTTTTAAGTGACGTTCCTAAATATGCCTGGAAAGGCAGTTATAAGTGAAATATGGGGAGTTAATTTAATATGTTGCAGTTCTTCCCAGTCTCCCATATTTCTATTAATTCTGCTAAATGGTTTGATATGAACTGTCTAAAGAGATCACCGGATGCAGAAATGCCACCTGCCCAATTGAAATGGGACAGTGACTTGGAGGGAAAGAGAAATTGGTAACTGACACATACTTGCCTGAGTAGATATGTGTTTGAGAGTTTTCATTGAAAATGGAAGGAGGCTGAAGCTTCATCCTGCAGAAATGTTCGTCTGTACCCCCCTCTCATTTGTAATACCTCTGCATACTGGTGTATTTCCACAAAACTGTTAAATGTGGTTTGTTGCTGCCTTTGACGTTTTAACGTGGGCAATTACCTGTGAATGTGATCTTTCTCTCTGGGCAACATTTTTCATGGAATCCTCTTCTTTTTTTTTTTTTTTCTGCAGGGACATGCCAGTAACTTGCACCATATCATGGCAACAAATGTTCAGATGTCTATCATCCGAAGTAGTGCTCCTGGCCCCCCTTTACACATTGGAGCTTCTCACTTACCCCGAGGTGAAGTCAACACGAGCTGTAAAAATGTCTCGTTTTCTCACTTGCTCAAGAAGGCTGCATCTACACTAGTTTCTTTTTTCCCTTAAAATTTCCCACTATTGTTAATGCGGGTATCACTCCAGCGGTAAGAATGCTAGTGTAGACAGGGCTTCAGGGAGCTGCTGGCATTTTAAGTGTTACGTTTTCTGAAACTGCGTAGTGCAGGTGTACGTGATGGTGCCAGCACCATCTTCTAGTTCAGTGGTCTCCAAAGTGGGGTGCGCAAGACGATCCCTTGGGGGGTGCGGGAGGAGGAGCGCCGCCAGAGGGAGGGGGAAGGAGGGGGCGGCCAGAGGAGGGAGGGAGGGAGCAAGCGGGGAAGCTGCCCCCCCAGCAGGCAGAGCCACACGGAATGCAGGGGCTTTGGGGGCCGCAGGGCCCTGGGCTAAGGGGGCCGCAGGGCCCTGGCCTGCAGCTCCAAAGGCCCTTTTGGAATGCGGCCCTGAGTCTTCCGGCCCGTGGAGGAGCAGGGGCAGCCGCGCAGCCAGCGGCCAGAAAGAAGCGGCACTTTCCCCTTCAAAGCCGGCTGGAGAGAAGCGGCGCTTTGAAGGGGAAAGCGCTGCTTCTCTCCAGCCGCTGGCTGCATGGCTGCCCTTGCTACTCCACGAGCCGGAGGACTCAGGGCCGCATTCCGAAAGGGGCTTTAGAGCTGCAGGCCAGGGCCCCGGGGCCCTCTTAGCCCAGGGCCCTGCAGCCCCTAAAGTCCCTGCGTTCCGGGTGGCCCTGTGGGGGGGGGCAGCTCCCAGAATCGTGGCCATGGGGGCGGTGCCGCGCTGCGCAGAGCCACCTGCACACCCTCTGCACCAAACAGGAGCTGCCCCAGGTAAGTGCTCTGCACCTCCTGCCTTCCCCAGCCTGATCCTCCTCCCGCACCCCCACCCTGAGCACCCTCCTGTACCCTAACTCCCTCCCAGACCCCGCACCCCACCCTGAGCCCCCTCCCACACCCTAACCCTAATCCAGACCTTCAAATCACTGTATCACAAAGAGTTAAACCAAGATTTTCAGAAATAATGAAGCATATTCAATCACATTGCTCTCACTAAAAAATATTATTAATAATAATTTTTTTTGTGAGAGCAAAAAGGTTTTTTGTACCGTTAAATAAAATACAATAAAAATGTTAAAATTATTTCATCTTTATCTCATCCTTTTTTAATTTAATTTTTTTGTATGTTTTATAATGTACATAATATATTAGGATAGTAGTACATGTGTATATAATTTATACATAAATAAATATACATATATTGGGGGTGCATGCTCAAAAAATTTTTACTGATGGGGTGCGCGATCAAAAAAGTTTGGAGACCACTGTTCTAGTTGAACACTGTGCTGGCAAAACAGTGGGGTACTTTAGAAAACATGGCCTAGTTTAGGTAAGTCTATTGTGCAAAATGTCACAGCTTATTCACTGCTCGCTCCTGGTTGTTTACTATGCCTTGCAGTCTGTCTCCTATCCATCCGCCACAATATCATTCCTATTCTGTAATAAGGTGTATTACTGTATCGAGTGGTGCACATTCAGACTTGTCTCTGAGATAACTTTGTTCTAGCTGTGTAGGCTTTTGTCTCTTCTCCCATGATTTTGGCTGTTTTGGTTTCAGCCTCTCTTTCTGTAGCTTGTAAAGCAGAACATCAGTCACTTTAAGAGGAGAGACCAGGTCAGCTAGCATGATTGCTGTTTGAAGGATAATTTAAGTCTGTCAGGCTTCTGATAGCAGGCTTATCTTTAAGGTCTATGAATTGGGCTTCCAGTCTTAGGTAAAATCAGATTGATACAAAAAAAAAACACCTACCAAATTTTTGTTTCCATGTCCCTGTCCTCTGTACTTGCATGGAGAATTGGTATGTTTAGATCACAATATTATGCAGTTGTTCAAGAAAGAAATCTAAAACTTTTAAGCTAATTTTAAAAAAAATATTGCTCTATACTCTTAATAGTGATTTTCGTTCACAAACAGGTATAAAGCTCTAAAGAGCATGAACTCTGGGCATGCTGCGCTTTCAGTGATCCTATATTTGTGCATGCAATATGTTGCATGTGCAAAACTGTACTTCACCAAAGTATTTGGGAAAGAGTGTATAGCTGTATTTGCAGTCTTTTACAGCCCGTATGGAAGAATTTGCATGTACCCATTTTTGTCATTGTTTTTTGAGCATTTAATTTGTGTCTATTTGAGCCTTTTGGGGAACCCACTTTAACATAAATTGTTCTTCGTATTTTCACTTAATACTTATTTTATTTTCAGTCTGTTTCCAACATCTTGTTCATATTTTCTTCCTGTTAAATTACTCACTCTAGGTAATATTGAGTGAAATCTGCAGAAATTGTATGTTTCCCATCAAATTATTTGACTGCATACTATTTGGAGTGAATTATTATGTTTGTGATCCTCTTGCAAACACAAACAGTTGATTTTTCTATGAGCTAAAACTGCTGTTGAAATGCTTGATGATTTGGGTGATAAAATTGTTTTTCTGATTCTAGTTTTCACACTGTAGATGTCTGATCATTTTGGCACAGCAGATAGATTACTGAACTGATACCATGCATTTTGCTGTGGTGTTTTAAAAAATAGCTTCCATTTATTGTGCATCCATCTTTCCTCTGTACTTCAGCAGATGCAGATAGATAAACAAAATTGCTAGATCACTTTTTACACATTCATCTAATATGCAAGTTATTTCAGTTACTCCTACTCACTTATTTCAATAGTTTGCAATTGAAAAAGATCAGATTTATGAAATAACATTATTAAATGTAAGAAGTTGGAAAAGGTCCAACAAAGCAGATTAGAATTTTTTGGCCTTTATTGCTAATTCCAAAAAAAACTTCTCTATCCCTTGAGTATCATTATTCTTAGCCCTAATTTTGAAGTTGCATCACTAGAATGAAAACTAGAAGTATAAAATAAGAACATAGGAATGGCCATAGTGGCTCAGACCAGTGGTCCATCTTGCCCAGTATCCTGTTTTCCGACAGTGGCTGGTGCCAGGTGCTCTAGAACAGGGCAATTATCAAGTGATCCATTCCCTGTCATCTAGACCCAGCTTCTGGCAGTCAGAGGCTTGGGCACACCCAGAGCATGGAGTTGCATCCCTGACCATCTTGGCTAATTGCCATTGATGGACCTGTCCTCCATGAATTTATCTAATTCTTCTTTTAAATCAGTCTTCGTTTTGGCCTTCACAGCATCCCCAGCAATGAGTTCCACAGATTGGCTGTGCGTTATGTGAAGAAGAACTTCCTTATATTTGTTTAAACCTGCTGCCTATTAATTTAATTGGGCCACCCTTGGTTCTCGTGTTCTATGAAGAAGTAAAAACACTTTCTTTTTTACTTTCTCCACACCATTAATGATTTTATAGACCTCTAGCATATCCCCCCTTAGTTGTCTCTTTTCTAAAATGAACAATCCCAGAGTTTTTAATCTCCCCTCATATGGAAGCAATTCCATACCTCTGATCATTTTTGTTGCCCTTCTCTATACTTTTTCCAATTCTAATTTATCTTTTTTGAGATTAGGCAACCAGAACTGCATACAGTATTCAAGGTGTGAGCGTACTATGGATTTATATAATGGTATTATGATATTTTCTGTCTCGTTATCTCTGTTTCCTAACATCCTGTTAGCTTTTTTGACTGCTGCTGTATATTGAGCAAATGTTTTCAGAGAACTATCCACAATGACTCCAAGATCTCTTTCTTGAGTCGTAACAGCTGATTTAGACCCCATCGTTTTGTGTGTATAGTTGGGATTATGTTTTCCAGTGTGCATTATTGTGGATTTATCTGCATTGAATTTCATCTGCCATTTTGTTGCCCAGTCACCCAGTTTTGTGAGATCCCTTTGTAACTCTTAGTAAAGTCCACAGCTGATCTCTATCTTGAGTAATTTTATATCATCTGCAAACTTTGCCACTTCACTGTTTACCCCTTTTTCCAGATCATTTATGAATATGTTGAACAGCACAGGTCCCAGTACAAATCCTAGGGGAATTCTGCCTTTTACCTCTCTCCACTGTGAAAACCGACCATTTATTCCTATCCTTTGTTTCCTGTCTTTTAACCAGTTACTGATCCATGAGAGGACCTTCACTCTTATCCCATGTCTGCTTACTTTGCTTAAGAGCCTTTGCTGAGGAACCTTGTCAAAGGCTTTCTGAAAGTCCAAGTATATTCTATCCATTGGATCACTCTTGTCCACATGTTTGTTGACCCCCCCCGCCCCTCAAATAATTCTAATAGATGGTGAGGCATGATTTCCCTTCACAAAAGACGGGTTGACTCTTCCTTAACAAATTGTGTTCATCTACATGTCTGCTAATTCTGTTCTTTACTATAGCTTCAACCAATTTGCCTGGTACTGAAATTTCACTCACCAGCCTGTATTTGCCTTTTTTCTTTTTTGTTTTTTTTTTTTTTTTTTTAATTGGCATGACATTAGCTATAGTCCAGTCATCTGGTACAGAGGTTGATTTAATCAGTAGGTTACATACCACAATTAGTAGTTCTGCAATTTCATATCTGAGTTCCTTCAGAACGCTTGGGTGAATACCATCTGGTCCTGGTGACTTATTACTTCTTAATGTATCAATTTGTTATTCCAAAACCTCCTCTATTGACCCCTCCATCTGGGACAGTTCTCAGATTCATCACCTAAAAAGAAGGGCTCAGGTGTGGGAATCTCCCTTGCATCCTCTGCAGTGAAAACCGATGCAAGGAATTCATTTAGCTTCTCCTCAATGGCCTTGTCTTCCTTGTGTCCTTTTTTTTTAGCACTTCAATTGTCCAGTGGCCCCACTGATTGTTTGGCATGTTTCCTGCTTCTGATGTACTTGAAAAAAAAGAATTTGCTGTTAGTTTTTGTGTCTTCTAGTCTGCTAGTTGCTTTTCAAATTCCTTTTCAGCCTGCCTAACTGGACATTTTAATTTTGCTTGCCAGAGTTTATACTGCTTTCTATTTTCTTCAGTAGGATTTGACATCAAATTTTTAAAGGATGTCTTTTTGTCTCTAACCGCCTCTTTTACTCTGTTTAGCCATGGTGACTTTTTTCCCTCTCCTCTTACTGTTTTTTTTTATTTGGGGTATACATATAGTTTGAACCTCTGTTTTTAAAGTTTCCATGCAGCTTACAGGCATGACTGTTTGTTTGTAACTGTTCCTTTTATTTCTGTTTAACTAGCTTTCTCATATTTGTGTAGTAGTTCCCCTTTTTGAAGTTAAATGCTACTGAGGTGGGGTTCTTTGGTGTGTCGCCCCCCTGCCCCCCAGGGATATTAAATTAAATTTATATTATGGTCGCTATTAATGAGCGGTTCAGTTATAATCACTTCTCGTCACTTAGGACAAAATCAAGAATTGCCTCTCCCCTTGTGGGTTCCAGAACTAGCTCTTCCAAGAAGCAATCATCAATGGTGTCTAGAAATTGTATCTCTGTATCTTGTTGTGAGGTGACATGTACCCAGTCAGTATAGGGATAGTTGAAATTCCCCGTTATTTTTGAGTTTTCTGTTTTTGTAGCCTTTCTAATCTCCCTGAGCATTTCACAATCACTGTCATCATCATGTTCAGGTGGTCAGTAGTGTATTCTTAGTGCTATGCTCTTACTATTCAAGCATGCAATTTTTATCCATAGAGATTCTATGGTACAGTGTGATTCGTTTAACATTTTTACTATATTTGACTCTGTGCTTTCTTTCACATGTAGTGCCCTCCCCCCAGAAGCACAACCTACGCTGTCTTTCCTGTATATTTTATACCCTGGGTATTACTGTGTCCTATTGATTATCATTTTCACCAATTTTTTGTGATGCCTGTTAAATCAATATTCTCATTTAATACCAGTCACTCAAGTTCACCCATCTTAGTATTTAAACTTCTAGCATCTGTATACAAGCACTTACAAAATTTGTCAATATTTAGTTGTCTGCCTTCAAGTGATGTAAATGAATAGGACTTTTTTTCATTTGACTGTTTTCTCTTCAGTTCCTATTTGTAGTTTATCAACTTCTGTCCTCTCTTCTTTACTAGGCTATAGAGACTCCCCTTTAATAAATCCACTAAGGGATGTCTCTGTTCGAACCATGTGCTCCTCCGCACCTGTCATCTTTCTCCCAGCCCTTAGTTTAAAAACTCCTCTACAACCTTCTTAATTTTACATGCCTCTCTGTATATTGGTAAATCAATCATTTTGATATGTTTTGCAGTAACACACGTGATTTGTTCCTTAGGTGCGGCAGCAGCTGCTGTGATGTCCAGCTCTAAAGTAACCACAGTTCTGAGGCCAGCTTCACAGTTGCCAAATGCAGCTACAGCTCAGCCAGCTGTTCAGCACATCATTCATCAACCAATCCAGGCAAGCGGCAATCATGCTGTATTGCAGACACTCTATTACTGTTCATTCAAAGATCTTCCTGACTTTTAGGGGGAATCCACCCAGAACATAACATGAGCATCCTTTATTTACTGGGCTGTTGGCATTGGCAGCATCATGCAGAAAGCTTTACAGGCTTTTTTGTAGGCTAACTATGAGCTGGAGATTACAGACCTTTAAACTGTCTACAAACTGATTAAACTCTGGAGAAGTCCTCATTCTGAATATGCTTGAAAACTTTATTTAAGTCCAAAAAGGCCTGGCTTGAGTTTGTGCTGTTACTTTATACTCAAACTTTAAATCAGTTTGATGGGGGTAATATAAAGCTAAATACTGGACCAGGAAATATATATATTTAAAATGAGATGGTGAGGGGATGCGTGCTCATGTGGATGTCTGATTCCACATAATGTTGTGCATATTTTTATAGTTATGTCCAAATGTAACCATATTTGCATAACTGTCTATAGTATAGATTGTTTGGTAGTCATGAATGGAATTCATCAAAATAAAAAACATATTTTCTAATAGCATATGGAAGCTCTGAATCATTGGAACAGTTTCTGTACATATCTGATCTTTTAACTGCTTTTGATCATCAACTACCTCTGATGCTTCTGCTCTGAAAACCAGGCCAGAACTTCACAAAAGAGTTTTATAGACTGGGAACATCTCCACGTGCCAGTATTTTGTACTGAGATCTAGGAAATTTGGCTTTATCAAAGTATTTTCCAGCTACTTTCTCAATTGCATCATTGTGACTTACTTTTATTATTCTGTTGTCTTTACAGTCTCGTCCTCCTGTGACGACGTCAAGCACTATCCCTCCTGCTGTAATAGCAACAGTCTCCGCCACAAGAGCTCAGTCTCCAGTTATTACTACAACAGCAGCACATGCTACGGAATCAACCCTGAGGTAAACACATAAGGAAAATGTCTTGAGGAGCCCCAAGATTCCTGACATTCACATAGACAGCATGAAGGGGAGTAGAGAAGGCTGATACCCCTGTGAATGTCAGAAATACTATATAGGAGATTTCTCTACTGAGGTCCAATTGATACAGCACATGAGTGTGTCAGGCAACATGGGTTCTTTCCTCTGTTCTGCCAGTGACTTGCTGTGTGACTTTAGGCACATCACTTAACCTTTGTCTGAGTGGGTTCATCTGTAAGACAAGGAAAATAATGCTTACCCATTTGTGTGAAATGCTTGCAACTCTGTGAGGGAAAAACACTGTAAATGCTAAATATTGTTTTCCGTTCCCAGAGAGAAAAACAGCTAAATAGGAACTTGACCAATTTGTTTCCCAAGGAATTGGGTTTACTGGCCTGCCATGACAGCACCTGGCTAATTCAGTCCCATCCTCTTCTAGCAGAAGTTTCTGTAGAAAATGGCATATGAGTGTTGGAATATTCAAAATATCTCGGGGTGGGGGAGGGGTAGAAATTGAAATTAGCTTGTTTTGCTCATGTTGGTATCTCTAGATACTGAGGAATCTGTTTGTTCCCACCTGTGGAAGACACAGAATAAGAATTATACAGCAGGCACTTCTGCAAATTCTGTCACTGTGTTAACATGGATTTGATAGTAGTGTAGCCCTCAAAGAGAAGACAAGTGGAGTCTGATGTCCCTACTTGCCAGTATGGGGGGAGCCAGTAATCCTTGTTTAACTGTCTGGATACTAAATAAAGATTAGTTCTCTGAACGTCCTTTCTTTCTTTTCCCAGTCGGCCCACTCTGTCTATCCAGCAGCACCCACCTTCTGCAGCTATTAGTATTCAGCGCCCTGCGCAGCCGCGGGACACGGCAACTCGGATCACGCTGCCATCTCACCCAGCCATAGGAACACCAAAACAGCAGCTCCACACCATGGCTCAGGTAAATCCCATGAGATGAGATCAGTGTAGTTTCTTCCACAGTTCAGGCTGTGAGAAAGTTGTGATTTTTTTGGGGGGGTCAAAAGTTATGGACAGAGTTGTTCACCTTTGTGGTTTTGGTGTGGTCAGTGCAAGTGGTGTATGGGCAAGGGGCAGGTGAGTCTGTGGGCGGTCAGCTGTGGGGGGAAAGGGTGTGTGTTGGGGGAAAATTGTGACCCACAATTATTTTTTACAGCCTTATCCCATATTTTTTTCTTACTTTGAACCACAACATCTTGATGACCCAGAGTAAGTGATGAACAGGGTTCAAAGTTAGGCTAGAAACCTGGTGTCCTGTTCTCTTAGGAATAGCTGCAATATGATTTTAAAGCAAATAAAAAGTAAAATGTATCTGTAAATTTCTCTTGATGTGAAACTTGCTTTTCCCTAGAAAACCATTTTTAGTACTGGTACGCCAGTGGCGGCAGCAACAGTGGCACCCATTTTGGCAACCAATACTATTGCCTCAGCAACCACGGCTGGTGAGTATTCACAGCTCAGTAGTGGGACCGTCACGTCTCCATGATGTTGAGAGGTGACAAAGGGTGGCAGAACATCTTCGTTCTGCAAACAGTCATCAGAGATCCTGTCCCTAGTTAGGATGTGAACTGTTTTTGTTGGAGGCGGGGGGGGGTATGGGGGGCAGGGAATGCTTGGATAGAAAATTCCTGGTGCTTGTTCTCTAGTTCTCTCTGTGTGTTTAGGACATGGATATTAGGGTGATGTAGCTGTATAGAAATCTCTAGTGTCACTTTCTGTCTTTCAGGTTCTGTGTCTCATACCCAAGCTCCTACAAGTACAATTGTCACCATGACAATGCCCTCCCACTCTTCCCATGCCACTGCTGTGACCACCTCAAATATCCCAGTTGGTGAGTGATTTCAGCTTCTGATGGAATGGGTGTAATTCAGCTGACATCTCTTTACACATACATCCAGATGGTCTGGGGCATCTATGTATTACTAGCACATTAACAAGAGAAATAACAAAAAAATCAATCCAAGTTGGGAGAGACAAACAAGTAGATTTGATGAGCCCTAATATATTTTTAAATGATGCAGGGAGAGTTCTGAAGCACTTGGTTAGTCTAGTTAACTATTGGCCTCCTCAAGTGCATCTTTATTCCAAACAAACTTGAGCCTCCTGGAACTTCATACCATGTAGTATGATGTATTGAGGATATATCTACTAAGGGATATAAATCTGTCTTCCTTAGTGAAGGAGTAAGTTCTCCTTCAGTATTGCTAGAGGTTTTAGCTGGAGCCTAGTCGCATCTGACTGTGTGTTTTGAGAGTAGGACGCTTAGTCCAGTTTATCTCCTCACTCACTGTCTTAGCACCTAGATGTGGAACCTGGCTGAGACATCTGTTTCCAACAGTGTTGCTCAGAAGCTCTTAAAATTGTTGCTGCTGACTAAAGGTAGTGTTGCTAACTTTCAGGTTAGAAAACTATCTTGAGTTAGGTGTTTTGTTTCATAGAGGAACTGTTGTAATACTAGAGCACTGGCAGGTCTGTGGCTTTATTTCCGTTAGCCAGTTCTGTCATGAAATCCCTACTGAAATACAACCACTTGTTTTTCTGTGCAGGGATGGAGAATGGTAAATGAGGTATGCTTTGTCTCTAGGGGACCTCTATCATGGCTGGAGATAAACTCAACTTCTGACTAGCAGAAACTCCAATATCAAGTGTAAAATCTTTGGTTTGCCTTTGTGGTCAGTGTACCTTACCAAAGACTAAACTCCAGAACCTGTAAACAAAGCCAGTGATTAGCAAAAATATTATCAGCAAAGGCCAAGTACCAAACTTTCTGCATCTTCACCTGCCTGTTCCACACTCTGCATCCCAACTTTCAGTCTCTACAAACAATAAAGGTCTAAACTTTTGCCACATTGAATTTGTCTTTGCCTTTGAATATATTCCAGCAAGCTGTGTCTGTCTTCAACCACTTATCTGTGGAGGAGGTTGTAGTTTTCTTTAAAATCTTCCTGTAAGGCTTGGGAGGGAAGCATGGTCTCCATTCACCTGTTGCAACTGGAGAGTTCCATGGTCCTCCTGGGTTTTGCTTGCTCTCATTAAAACTTCTGTCCTTCTCTCCTTTTCCACCATATGGATTGGTCCCTGAAGATCTGTCCACTCAAGCTATTGGCAAGGGAAAAAAGGGCTGATCATGGAGAATTAAGATTATTCAGGGACTGAGGTCACTTAATTTGATATTATGTATTTTATATGTGCACTTAGAGCCCAAGGGTCACACATTACAAATGAATAAGAGTTTCCATTCCTTCTCTGATTCTGCCCTGTTGTTAGTGAAATAAAAAGACTTGTTCATTTTCACTGAGGAGAAGAAAGTTTAATCATCTGGATTTCAAACTCTCCTTTTCTGCATCTGCTCTCTTCTTTGTTTTGGTTGTTAACTGGCTACTTGTTTTTCATTATGCAGCTAAGGTGGTTCCTCAGCAAATCACACACACTTCTCCTCGGATCCAGTCTGATTATACAGGAGAGAGGAGTAATCTCATTCCTATATCTGGACACCGAGCATCGCCAAACCCAGTTGCCATGGAAACAAGAAGTGACAACAGGTAGGTGGGAAAGAATTCTTTAAGTAGAGCGCCTTGCTGCTTCTCTGCGAAAGGCTTATCATATGCATGAATTGACATGATAGCTAACGCTTAAGGGGGTTTAAGGTTTCTGAATTTAGCTAGCTGAAAGGGATCTCTAGAATAGTCAGGGTTAGTTAATACTCTTGCTTAGGGAGGTTGCAAAGATTAGAGGGTGGACTGAGCACTGGGATTGAAGGAGGTGGGTGCAAGTTGTAATGATTTGTCTGACACTTGCTGTATCTTCATATCTGTAGGCAGTCGGTGCCAGTCCAATTCCAGTACTTCTTACCAACGTACCCGCCTTCTGCCTACCCTTTGGCTGCACACACTTATACCCCCATCACCAGCTCTGTGTCCACCATCCGCCAATATCCTGGTAAGGAATTGCCATGCAAGTGACTTTTAGAGCAGTCTTGGAGCAGCAATAAGAGTATGCCAGGCCTGACTGGTAGAAGTGTTCAGTGCAGTTCAAGGTACTGGTTCACAGAGATTCTGCTAAACAAGTTTAGGCATTTATCCAGACCCAAACCTCCTTGATGGGTCTCCCATGATCCATGTTCTAATAAGCCAATTTAATTTTGTAATATTCTCACTCCTTTTACCTTACATACATACACAGTTTTGCTGATGAAGTTGTGGGTCTCCATAACTGGGAGTTGTTCTGGCCTAAGATGTCACTAAACTCAGTACACTAGCCCCTGTGTTATTTATTGTGATATTACATTCAGTTTGCTGTCCACTGTCCCCCACTTCAGTTTTCAGTATTGTTAACAATACATAAATGCATCATGGAAGATGAGGTGCAAGGGAGAATCTGGAGGCCTTTGCAGCAGGGTAGGGGACAATTAGGGTGTTTGGCATGAAATGATCAGTAGTGAAAGTTAACTGTATAAATTAGGGTTTAGGCTTCAGAGTTAACATTTCATTGAGGAGAATGGGGCAGTTCACATCTCTCTGACTACTGATTCAAGCAGCTGCAGACTCAAAAATAAAACACTATATCAGTTCTTGTCATCATGGTTAACATCGCAATAATGAGGGCTAGAAATATATACGTCTTTAAAAAGAGAGCTTATATTTTGGAGCTCCATTTTGCATAACGGTTAAATTCCACTGCATTGTGAGTGTTGGATAACTGGTTGGGCTTAAGAACAAACCAGTTCACGCAGCTGTAGTGTCAAGTATTTAGGATTAGAGAAAATTTAAACTAAGCCATATTTTAAAAGCTTTCCACACTTGGATTCTACTTCTCTCTCTTCTTTTGTAAACTATCACAGATATTTTTCTTTTTTAATTCACATTAGTAGGCTCAAAACTGTTACCAGTTTCAAGCCTGTCTTTTTTAAATAAATGCTTCAGTGCTGCTCTTTCCTTTTTTCAAAAACTGAAAACATTTTGTATCTTGACACTCAAAGGACTCTCTTAAATAACATATCAGTGGCAAAAGTAGAGACAAACTTTCAGGGGTAGTATACAGACTTCAGTTGCAGGATTCAAATGGCTAATTTTTAAACTTGTGAGTTAAAGAACAACTTGACAGTATTCTTTCAAAAACACAGGCTTTGCTCCCTTCTTCCTGTTGTATCCCACTTTCTAACTGGTTTTGCAATTAAGTTACAGTATCTTGTAGCACCAGACAGACATTGTAAATGCAAAATTAAGGCATCTGAATTTGTTATGGCTCTCAGCAGTCTGGAGAGTTAGTTTGTGATGGGAAAAATCTTATTCAAATTCTGTTATCCTCAGCAGTAGCAAGGAGACTGCAGAATGTTAAGCAAATTGCTCCATCTTAAATAAAAATCCAAATAGTGTTTAGAACCCCTCTTTATGCACCATAGGAAAATGAAGTAGTCCATTGGGGTGGAAATAATCAATGTTCATGTTACTGTTCTCAGTTTCAGCTCAGGCCCCCAACTCTGCCATCACAGCTCAGACTGGTGTAGGAGTGGCCTCCACTGTGCACCTCAATCCCATGCAGCTGATGACTGTAGATGCATCTCATGCCCGTCACATCCAGGGGATCCAGCCAGCGCCTATCAGTGCACAGGGGATCCAGCCAGCGCCTATCAGTGCACAGGGGATACAGCCAGCACCAATTGGAACACAGGGACTCCACCCAGCTGCACCAATTGGAACACAGGGACTCCAGCCTGCACCAATCAATGCTCAGCAGCCACAAACAGAAACAAAGACTTCAGGTAACTTCAGCCAACTAGGTCCATGCTATATATGGGCTCAGTTCAAGGGAGCGACGTAGCCTTGAATTCACCTCCAGCTTCTTAATCAACTGAAGTATCTTAGCTAGTCTAACTCTCTGGGAAGCCACACCCTGATGAGAAATAGTATTTATATAGTACAAACCTTTATAAAGCTACAGTGGTAATACAATAGCAGACATTAAATACACTAATATGCACTCTCTCAGTAGATTTGTTTTTGTTCCATTATTTACGAGCCAAAACTACATGATCAGGTTGCAAGTAGATTTTAGTGATTTGTTTTTTTAAGTTAGTGTTGGTCTGACGATGTTATGACTAAAGCTGGAAGTGCCACTGCAGCTGAAGAACTTGACAAACCTTCTCTGCATGTGGATGATTCTTCTCAGGAATGGCTAGCGCTTCTCAGAGATAGGATATGTTGCCTATAAATTGCCCAAGACATGAAACCCATTACAGTCACACTTTGAAAAATGACTGCAAAATACCTTCACCAGCTGGACTACCGCAGGAAAATCCCTCATGTGAGGAAAAACATCAGTCCAGCTATCCTGAAGACTTTCTGAGGAAAAGGCATCTAGCATCTCGGAGACCACTCTAGCCCCTCCCAGAGCTGGCTGGCAAGCAAATATTGTCCAGTATCTACTTCTCACCTGTCTAAATGTCCTGAATCAATGGTGAGCTGAGATGGCCAAACACACCTGGCAGAAGGTTAGGACACAGCACTATGAGACAGTGCCTTATTTACAAGTAATAAGCATTTGCCAAAGACATGCAATTCTTATGCATATAGTGATACATTCTTCCCTGGGAAGCTCTGCCCCTTCCATTTCTCTTGGAATGCTAGTCTTACCTAGCAACAGTTGTTAGGCAGGTGATGCCCTCCATCTCCCCTAGAGAAGGTTGTTATTAAATTGCTTTGTACAGCACTACACTTCAAAACTAGGAGAGAGCTTGGGGAGCAAGTATACGAATACCTACTTTCCCATCAAGTGTTTCTTTTAATAACTGCTGCTTTTCCCATCTTCTCTTCGTTGTCTTCTGTCTCTCTCTCCTTTTCTTTCATGTCCCTTTTGTCCTTCCCAGCAGTGGTCTTGGCAGATGGAGCCACCATTGTGGCCAATCCTATTAGCAACACATTCAATGCAGCTCCAGCAGCGACCACAGTGGTACAAACTCACAGCCAGAGTGCCAGCGCCAGTGCACCAGCCCAGGGCTCATCCCCACGCCCAAGCATCCTCCGGAAGAAACCAGCTACAGATGGGTGAGTAGGACTTGACTTGGCATTTAATTGCTCTTCTGCTCAGGCTAGTCCAGGGGTGCCCAACCTGCAGGCCGTACATGGCCCACCAGAGCATTTCATAAGACTCGCAGCCTGCTTCAATGCTATATACTAATGATCGATTCATTAGCGTTTTGTCGTCATGATCACATCATTTTAGTTTACACAGCGTGTAAATAGACAATCCTGTACATAGGTTGTTTCTATCTAAACACATCTAAAACAAGCTGAACTTAAAATATAAATCAATACAGGTGACTTTAAATCTTATTAAAATATGTAGAATCTGTTTGGCCTGCACA